ATTACGCCTCGTTTGGTACGCAGGAATAGACTCAAATGAGAATGGAATGGAAGAAGGAATGGAATGGAATTAATGTGAGAATGGAATATTCATTCTCATTCTCACGTTTGGGTATAATTTATAAAATAAAGTGAGAATGGACGTATTTTAAAATTGTATATTTTATTAATTCTCATTTAAGTGGGAATGCTAATTCCCTATCATTTTATTGGGAATACTCATTCCCACATAAAGTGGGAATTGATGAGAAGTGAGAATGTGCATTCCAACTTCAAAAAAAAGGTATGTTTGGTAGGAAAGAATGAGAAGTGAGAATGACCATTCCATTCCACTACATTCCCGCGTACCAAACGAGGTCTTAGTAGATTGTGATAGGAGTGCACTCTAAGATTGGGGGTGCTCCTTTAAATGTATCCTCTATTTTCCTTTTTTTTTTTTTGAGGTAATTGTAAAGGCTGGGGAGCCTCATTCTTGAGGTTCCATTTTTTTAAAGAAGATTAAAGCATCGATTTTTGACATTGAATTTTTCCACATTATATCACTTTTTTCATCACCCTTATTCCTTCTTGCAAACGAACAACAGTTTTGTGCTTCAAAATGAATTCTGTTGTAATATACTAAAGAAATGAAACGAAAAATGGACAAGAGACAAGAGAATAAGATAAATTGTAATTTTCATTTCATCTCCTTTTTTCCATACATCCACCAATTTATAGATACATTGTGGAAAACAAAAAGACTTTGGACTGATGAAAAGTCACCAATAAATATTCCACATTAATAAAGTAATGTCCACATTCATTTTGTCTTTTAGGTTTCCACAAAATGACTTTTGGATTTCAACACTCCCCCTTGGACATTACTTCGATATGTCAATGTCTCATTAAAAACCTCGCTAGAAAAACCCAGTGGGATAAAAACTAGTCGAGGAAAAGAGTACACGACATTAGTAGATTCTTGTTGCATTAGTTGCCTCATTAAAAACCTTTAACTAAGAAAACCCTATGGGACAAAACTTAGTAAAGGGAAAAAGAGTACAACTATAGATCTTCGGGATCCAAACTTGTATTGCATTAGTTGCCTCATTAAAAACCTTTAGCTAAGAAAACCCTGTGGGACAAAACTTAGCAAAAGAAAAAAAGAGTACAACTATAGTCCTTCAAGGCGCAATTTTCGTGATTGCATTGAAAATTCGCTCCCCCTGATGATGACAATCTTCTGAGTCTGCGCATTGAAAATATGACTATAGACCTTCAGGGCCCAATCTTCAGGATTTTTCTTTAAGAATTTGCTCCCCCTAAAGACGATAGTCTTCTAAGTCTGCGCATACCAATATTGTGAACATATTTCTCAAAAGTTGATGTAGGCAGAGATTTGGTGAATAAATCTGCAAGATTGTCACTTGAGCGAACTTTTTCGATGGTGATTTCACCATTCTTTTGGAGCTCATGTGGATAAAAGAATTTTGGTGCAATATGTTTTGTCATGGTTCCTTTTACATATCCACTGCTCATTTGTACAACACAAGCTGCATTATCCTCATAAAGGACAGTGGGGGTAATATCGTCTTTCGCTAGGCCACACGAGCCATGAATGTGTCGTATCAACGATCTTAACCATACACATTCTCGTGAGGTCTCATATAAAGCGATAATCTCTGAGTGGTTAGAAGAAGTAGTCACCATGGTCTGCTTGACAGACCTCCAAGAAATGGCAGTACCACCGCAGAGAAATACATAACCAGCCTGGGATCTGGCGTTATGGGGATCAGACATGTAGCCAGCATCCGAATAACCCACCAATGTCATATCTTGGTTTCTTTTATAGAATAGTCCAAGATCTTTTGTTCCTTGAAGATAACGAAGGATATGTTTAACACCATTCCAATGCCTCCTTGTAGGAGAAGCACTATACCTTGCTAGCAAGTTCACCGCAAATGCTATATCAGGCCTGGTGCAATTTGCGAGATAGAGAAGTGCTCCAATGGCGCTCAGATAGGGAACTTCTGGCCCTAACATTTCTTCATTATCTTCTTTTGGTCTAAATGGGTCTTTATCCACTTCGAGGGACCAGACAACCATTGGTGTGCTAAGTGGATGAGATTTGTCCATATAAAACCTTTCCAAGACCTTTTTCACGTAGGTCGACTGGTGTAGAAAAATTCCTTCTGGGAAATACTCGATCTGCAGGCCGAGACAAAACTTGGTTTTTCCCAAGTCTTTCATTTCAAACTCCGTCTTTAGGCATGAGCTAGCTTCTGTAAGCTCCTTGTGTGTTCCAATAATATTTATATCATCAACATAAACTGAGATGATACAGAAGCCATTTTCGGATTTCTTTATAAACACACAAGGGCATAAGTCGTTATTTACATATCCCCTCTTCAGGAGGAAATCACTCAGTCGATTATACCACATCCTACCCGACTGTTTTAAGCCGTATAATGACCTTTGTAATTTAATACAATACATGTTGCAATTTTCATTTTCACTCAATTTAGGGATTTTAAGTCCATCTGGGACTTTCATATAAATATTAGCGTCCAGTGACCTATATAAATATGCGGTCATGACGTCCATCAACTGCATATCTAAATTCATTATTGCTGCCATATTAAGTAGCGGAACGTAATACCATCCATAACTGGAGAATATGTTTCATCAAAATCAATGCCAGGTCTCTGTGTAAACCCCTGAGCTACTAACCTCACTTTGTATCTCACCACCTCATTATTCTCATTTCTTTTTCGTATGAAGACCCATTTATATCCTACAGGGATAATATCATCAGGTGTACGGACTACAGGTCCGAATACTTTTCTTTTATTTAGCGAGTCAAGCTCTACCTCTATTGCTTCTTTCCATCTCACCCAGTCTGAGCACTTCCGGCACTCTGCTATCGACTTAGGCTCTGGATCCAGATTATCATTGGAGATGTTAAGAGCAATCGTGAAGGCAAATATGTTGTCGACAACTGTTATATTTCAATTATATGTTTCTTCGGTATTCACAAAATTTGTAGCTACTTCTATGTTTATATCCACCAAATCATCATCATTTCCCATATCATTTAGATTTGGTTGTTCTGCAACCCCAGTGCAATGATTATCAAGTGCACGTGCAATTTTACTGGGGCTTTCGCCTTCAAGACGATCCTCTTCAGGAGGTTTTGGGAGTGATTGGCTTTCTTTATTATATTTAGTTTGTCGCGGATTTTTATCTTTCGCACCGATCGGTCTTCCACGCTTCTGGCGTAGTGGAGCATCTTTTGATATGCTCAGTCCATGTGGAATTTCCACTCTTTGTGGTGCATTTACAGCAGGAAATCTAAATATTGAAGATCTTTTTCATACCACGATATTTCCCGACATTCATTTAATTTTTGGTGTTTATCTCCCCCTAATGTCGGGAAATGATCTTCATCGAATATGCAATCAGCGTACCGAGCAGTAAATTGATCCCCTGTCATGGGCTCTAGGTATTTTATAATTGACGGAGTTTCATAACCAATGTATATACCTAGTTTTCGTTGAGGGCCCATAGAGGTACGCTTGGGTGGCAATATTGGAACATAAACTACACATCCAAAAATACGCAGATGGGAAATGTTTGGTTCTTTACCACGCACTAGTTGTAAGGGGGAATAATCATGATATGCAGTGGGTCGGATTTGGATTAACGCAGCAGCATGTAAAACGGCATGTCCCCAACAAGAAATAGGTAGTTTTGAATTTTGTAATAATGGTCTAGCTATTAATTTGATTCTCTTAATTAACGATTCTGCTAAACCATTTTGAGTGTGGACATAAGGAACCGGATGCTCTACTTTAATGCCCAATGCCATACAAAAATCATCAAATGATTTGGATGTGAACTCGGCAGCATTATCCATACGAATAGATTTAATTGGAAAATCAGGAAATTGAGCTCGTAATTCAATGATTTTTGCTATTAATTTAGCAAAAGCATTATTACGGGTGGATAACAAGCTGACATGAGTCCATCGAGTAGAGGCATCGATCAAGACCATAAAGTATCTAAATGGTCCTGATGCAGGATGAATAGGTCCACAGATATCTCCTTGAATCCTTTGAAGGAAAATGGGAGATTCAACATTCACTTTAGTACGAGAAGGGTGTACTATAAGTTTTCCTTTAGCACAAGACTCACAAATATAGTCTAAAGAAGAGGGGACATTGCTGCTTGGCATATTATGCCCAATTGAATTTAAGATTATCCGACGCATCATATTTTGCCCAGGATGACCCAATCGCTCATGCCATAATTTAAATGAATTTGGGTCTTTAAATTTTAAACTCATCGCAACATGGTTAGTATTAGATCGGATATATGTGTAGTACAATCCTGGGGAGAAAGATGGAAGCTTCTCTACAACTTGCTTCCGACATCCAATTGACTGAGTCATGAGAAGATGTTCAGCACCATTCTCATTTTCGGTTTCAATATGAAAACCATTAGACCGAATATCTTTAAAACTAAGAAGGGTACTCATTTTCGGTTTCAATATGAAAACCATTAGACCGAATATCTTTAAAACTAAGAAGGGTACGTTTGGATTATGGATATAATAATGCATCATTGATGATTAATTTCGTACCCATAGGAAGTATTAGTGAAGCTCTGCCGGAGCTTACTATCAACACATTGTCGTTAGCAATGGTGGTTACACTTCCTTGTTTTTCAGTCAAAGTTTGGAAGAATTTTCTATCTTTTAGGATAGTATGTGTGGTAGCACTATCTACCAAGCACAAAACTGTCTCCTTCTCCATGGGTTGTACGCGAGGAAAGTTGTGCACTATTCTAAAAATTGAAAAATTCATATAAGCACAAAAACAAGGTAAAGACATAATAATTTAAATAAACCCATTTGAAATTAAAATTTTCTTAGGAAAAACATGTAAAATAAGCCTAGTGAGAATACAAACAACTAGAACAAGTCTTGAAAAACTAAAATAGACTAATAAAACATGCATAACATGATCACTCCTGGTCGCCAAAATCATCAAGCTCCATCTTCAATAAGTCATCATCGTCCATATTCATATCTCCCATCTTCAACAGATTATCATCATAATTGTCATCTTTCAGGGTCATGTTTGCTTCAGGCAAACTGGCATGATGTGTTTCACCATGTTTTGACTTCCCCTTTGAGTCCTTCAGCATTCTCTGATATGCCTCAACCAAATGTTTCGGTGTACGACATGTGCGAGACCAGTGGTCCTCACATCCACACCGATAACAAGCTTGTTTGTTATTTGTAACCTGTTGATGAGAGCTAGGCTTGTGTGAATAAGGTTTATCCTTGTTCTGACCCTTGTTACAGTCTTGAAGACTATTAGTATTGCGACGACCACGACCCCTACCACCACGATAAGACCCGCGACCATGTCCACGACCTCTACCACGTCCACGCCTATGAGTATTACTCTGATTTGTGGCATGTGCTTCAGGCACAGCTAGCGAACCAACTGGTCTAGCATTATGGTTGCGCATCAGAAGTTGGTTGTGTTTATCTGCAACTAGTAACGCAGAGATCAATTCAGAGTGTTTTGAATAGTTTTTTGGTCCTGTACTGCTGCTGGAGTACAAGATTACTTGCATGGAATGTAGAGAGGGTCTTTTCAATCAATTCAGCCTCTGTAATGTTCTGCTTACAGAGCTTCAGCTGTGAGACAATGCGGTGGAGGGTTGAATTGTATTCAGTTACGGATTTAAAATCCTGAAATCGCAAGTTTAACCAATCATACTGTGCTTGCGGAAGCATAATAGCCGTCTGTTGGTCAAAGCGATCCTTCAGGGATTGCCATAGAACAGCAGGATCTTTTTCAGTAAGGTACTCATTTTTCAGGTCTTTGTTGAGATGATGACGAAGAAAAATCAATGCCTTTGCCTTCTGGGCAGAGGTGCTCTGAGAAGCTGGAGCAATAGTGTTGCTTAAATCACAAGAATTCAGGTAGATTTCAACATCTAAAGCCCAAGTCAAGTAATTGCTGCCATCAACGGCAAGCTCAGCAAATTCCCTTTTGATGATGTCAGACATTGTTCAGAAATGCTATAATTATCAAAAGAAGATATATCAATCCACCAAATTTATAAAATATTGCACTATACAAAGTGTGCATACAAACAGAAGTGAATAAACAAATCATTAGTTACAATGCATGCCGCTTCATTTTTGCTAAAGCCGAATATTCATTCACTTTACAGAATTTACTATAGAGTTCAAAAAGCTTGCTGTGATTGTGCATAAGATTGTGTAACGTACTCGTTTAAATAAAGCTACATCATACTTAATACATATCTTATGTCGTTAATAGTAGTGCACGTTGACAATACATCAACGTTGTTAAAGTCATGTAGACAGAATTTAGATAGTGCTCAACATTAATGTACTATATAGTAGTTTATTTCAATTACTTGATTGCGCATTACTCATATCATAGTTTTGTTTGTTAAGAAAATTAATGTGTTACATATGTGCGTGAATGTGGTTCTACCTTTCTACATGGAGTGAATAGTCCCCAGTGACTGGATATATTACATGGTATCCTCCTTGAGGAGATAGGAGGCTTAATGCCAGATTTAATTATGAAGCAAACGGCTTTGTTGAAGTGAAAAGTAAAAATTAATTTAAGAATGTATATCAAGTAAACCAACCAATCTCCAGTGATTAATATGCAATATCATGACCATCAAGTGTGGAATGTGATTCAGAATATAAGTATCATGTACTGCACTGTCCAGGAAAACAAGAATAAAAGGGCAAAATGAATTAATTTCATAAAAGCATAATTTAAAAAAAAATGGAGATCATGACATTGGGAGCTTTTATAGCAATGGAAATCATTGCTCCACTCTTGAAGGTTTAGACATTATGTCTCTCAAGTTATACTATATTTGTAAACAATTAAATAACTGAATTACCAAAAAATTAATATTGTGTATCTCTGTTCCATACATTTTTACAGTCATTGTAGTATATTATATATATTGATTAAAGATACTAAAGTTTTCAAAAATACATCATACTACAGATTTCAACATCAAATAAACATAGTCAATATATCATCATCACATGGTTCCAAAGTAAATTGCATAACATACTGTTATAGAGGCATAATCGATAACGAAAACATGAAACTTTGTAAATAGACAAAGGTCAAATGTGTTATTACCTTGCAGAAGATATATATTGAAAAATCTATTACCACGAACCGATGATCACGAACCAGCTAGAGCCACTCGTGCTGATAACGTGTTGTAATATACTAAAGAAATGAAACGAAAAATGGACAAGAGACAAGAGAATAAGATAAATTGTAATTTTCATTTCATCTCATTTTTTTCATACATCCACCAATTTATAGATACATTGTGGAAAACAAAAAGACATTGGACTAATGAAAAGTCACCAATAAATATTCCACATTAATAAAGTAATGTACACATTCATTTTGTCTTTTAGGTTTCCACAAAATGACTTTTGGATTTCAACAAATTCTAATATTATTTATTTGTTGTTTGTAATAATATTTGACGTAAATAGTGTTCTACCTCCATTTAAAAAAAGAATTTCTAATCAAATCTAAGGAAACAAACAATACTAATTTTCCATCGAAATTAAAGTTGACTTGGACTAAACAAATACCAAATACGTTCTTTGTATTCTAGTCTTCCAGCTGCATTATTCCCTTCTTTCCTCTTCTCTTTGCTTGCTTTTTCTTTCCCTCTTTTTGATTAGCCTTTAGCTTTATTTTTCCCACTAAAATAGGCAAAGCTTAGTGTGGCGTGGATCTCGATGGGCTTTTATGTAACTGTATATAATCTCTGTTTAGTGATTCTTTTTATTTTTAGTTTATTTATTTACCGGGGGTAGATAGGAGTGCGTGATGTTGGGAAATACTTGAGGCTACGCTAAATCTCTAAAACAACAAAAAAAACGTAATATAGAGAAAAATACATCAATATTTAAGAGGTTCGGTAAACTTGCCTACGGCCTCGGGAACCACACAATTAATTTCTTATTAATTAAAAAAAATTACAATGCATGCAAGAGCAGATCTCAAACTTGAGATCTCCCAATAAATGTCAATTATCACTGTAGCTACAGTGATAATTACCTTCTTAAATACCCCTCTTTGATTTTCTCCTCAATAAATTCCCTTTTCTTAAACTAGTATAGTGCACGTGCGTTGCACGTGAAATTGTATTTGTTTCTTGTTCTAAATTTTTTAATTATATAAGAACTTATCTAACACAAAGGATAATTAAAATTGTTATCCTTGTCATGTATAAATATATATTACAATGTTCACTCATAAATATAACTACAAATGAACCACCAATATAAAAAGGCCTAATCGAATTTAAATATCTTGACAAGTTTAATAGTAAATTTAACAAATAGTAAGAGTTAAAGTGTTTTAAAATTAGCATTGCATGAGAGTTTTTGAGAGAAATTATCATGTTTGCATGACTGAGGGTACTTGATGAGAGCTCCAAATTACTTCACACCACCAACGAATCAAGTAGTGTTAAGCCTCTACACAATCACTGACAAATCAAGCAAAATACGTAGCCAAAGGACGCCAATATCCTTTTTAGACTTCAGTTTCTTCAGAATGTAACTTCTTGTAACTATGCACCACTCGAGCATTATACTCCTAAGCACTGATGGTTCTGGAATCAGTACTAAAAGTACAATTTATAGAAACTTTAGGGTATTTAAGTAAATCTAGATACAACTGAGGGTCTATATATGCAAAATATGTGAAACCAGGGGCAAATTTAGATTCTTGAGTTGAGTTGTAGTTCCACCCCTACAAATTTATAAGCCCTAGTAACATTTATAAGCTTCCCCCTTTGCCCTCCATAAACTTTAAAAACTACACCATAACCTATATCAAAACTCATTTAAAGAATTCTTAGCAATAGTTAATTTAGGGGCAGTCGAAAAAGTTTAGAAAAATCTCAGTTACTCGATCATATAAAACCATATCAGAAATAAAAATAAGAACTAGTTTAAAACTAATAAATAATTTGCAACAAATTTTTATTAAAACAAAAGTAAAAACTCCCCAGAAAATGGACGTTGCCTTCACTTCGGATTCAGTTCCTCTCTAATTTGGTGGTAATTAGAGAGGATCCAATTATTCGAGTCATTAACTTTCATTCTAATTTCAATGGCTGATCATAGGCATCATTTGTAGAAATTAACATTTTATATTTTAAGGCAAGATTTTAGGCACAAGTTGTATAGATTGGAACTTTTGTTTTAATTATTCTTTTTCCTTTTTCACTATTGTCATATTGGTTTTCACAATAGGGGATTTTAATAGAAAAGTGGTTTTCAAAATAATAGCAAAAATCCTATGTGCCGCAATTTCATACATTGAAATCCAAATATAGGATAAATATTGAGATTATTAGAGAAGATCTAGATCCCTTAATTGGAGAGGAGTCGAACCTCTACTCTAATTCTCATTTAATTGGAGAGAATTCGGATTCCCTCTCTTAGAGAGCTCGGAATCCTTAATAGTTTCTTTCTAGCTTGTAATGACCGTAAAATTTTGATACTAGTTAAAATAAATTTTTATATTTTAAAATATTTAATTATAATTTTTAAAAGAGTATTTGTATTTTTCTCGATTTTCTAGAAATTTTCTACGATTAAAAGTCTAAGTTTTATATTTATTTAAATGGTTTTGATATTTATAAATTAATTTAGTGCAATAAAAATTTCTGGAATTTATCTGTTGCGTTATCGATACTGTTACATGTCATTTTGAATAATACGTTGTATTATTTTTATTATTACATATATTTTCGTATAATACGTTGTATTATTAATTACGTATTATCTGTATAATTTGCTGTATTATTTCTACTGTTACATATTATCTGTCGTATTAGTTTAACATGTACGTTTTACTGTGTATATAATTATCCTATAATTGTTTGATTTTAAATATAAGTAAATATATTTTATTTATTAATGATTCTTATTTAATTGTACAATATGTGAATATTTCGACTATTTCGTATCAACTGTTGTATTAGCACAACATGTACGTTTTTATTTGTAGATAATTATTCCGTAATTGGTTTAATATTTTAATACCCGTAACTATTTATTTAATTATTTTTATTTAAATACCTGAACCCATTTGAAAATAATCCAAAGTTGTTGCTCCCCGTCAAACCCCCAACAACCATCCCTCTCATCACGTTTTCTCTCTCCTCATTTTTCCAAGAAGACGGTTGTCCACGCGCATTCTCACTCAATATTTTATTTTATTATTTTAATTTTTTATTCAAAATTTTTCTATTTAAACCATGCCCCAACACTCCTCTCGTACACACCTCTCTCTCTCTCTCTCTCCTCCATTTCCTAACGTGCGCAATTTCCATAAAAACTCAACACAGCTTTCTCTCTCTCTCATCTCGAGGCTCGAGCTCGAGCTCGCCGCCCACGCTCTCACTCTGACCTCATAGCCTAGCTCCGCTATACCCTTAACGCTCCGGCCACCCGAATCTCGCGACCGCCCGCCTAGCTCAGCGCCGACCGAGCGCCACCCGGCGCAAGCCACCCACCGAGCCGACGCCCCCGACAGCCCGGACCGGCCAGCCTCCCTCTTCACCGCTCACACTCACTGCCGACCGCGACGCCGCTGCTCAACGGGGAGCCGCTCTTTCATTCGGACTCATGTCATTGCGTTTCGATTTGGAGCTCAGTCCAACCCGACCTCTGGCCACGCCGGTTCAGCTGCTCACACAGCCTCTCGCTATCGTCGCTTGCGGTTGGATGGGACGCCCTGTCCCTTCCCCCGAGCTCCGACGCCGGCCTCCAGCTCGCCGCTGCTGTGTGTCCGCCAGTTCGCGCGGCTCAACTCCTCACGTCACTGCCATCCCAAGCTGACGACTGAGCTTTCCCGGCCTTCATCTCACCGCCACTGCTGCCTGTAACAGTTTTCATCGTCCGTCCCCTCCGAGGCTCAACTCTGGCTCCGATCTCGGCGTCTCTAGCGCTCGTCGATCGCG